GAATTCTCAGAAGTTGAAGATTCTGAGGAGCTCTACCTACAGAGGAAATTTGATTCCCAAAACATCCCAAAACGGCCATTTCGAGCCAGAAAGCAGCTTTACGGGAATCAAATTTCAAGAGGTATGGTAGAAGGAGAATGTATCCACATAGGAATTTGATTCCCAAAACGGCCCTTTTGAGCCAGAAAGAAGCTTTACGGCAATGTATACACATAGGAAATTTGATTCCCAAAACGGCCATTTCGAGCCAGAAAGAAGCTTTACGGGAATCAAATTTCAAGAGGTATGGTAGAAGGAGAATGTATACACATAGGAGATTTGATTCCCAAAACGGCCATTTCGAGCCAGAAAGCAGCTTTACGGGAATCAAATTTCAAGAGGTATGGTAGAAGGAGAGTGTATACACATAGGAATTTGATTCCCAAAACGGCCATTTCGAGCCAGAAAGCAGCTTTACGGGAATCAAATTTCAAGAGGTATGGTAGAAGGAGAGTTTATACACAGAGGAAATTTGATTCCCAAAACGGCTATTTCGAGCCAGAAAGCAGCTTTACGGGAATCAAATTTCAAAAGGTATGGTAGAAGGAGAGTGTATACACATAGGAAATTTGATTCCCAAAACGGCCATTTCGAGCCAGAAAGAAGCTTTACGGGAATCAAATTTCAAGAGGTATGGTAGAAGGAGAATGTATACACATAGGAAATTTGATTCCCAAAACGGCCATTTCGAGCCAGAAAGCAGCTTTACGGGAATCAAATTTCAAGAGGTATGGTAGAAGGAGAGTGTATACACATAGGAAATTTGATCCCCAAAACGGCCATTTCGAGCCAGAAAGCAGCTTTACGGGAATCAAATTTCAAGAGGTATGGTAGAAGGAGAATGTATACACAGAGGAATTTGATTCCCAAAACGGCCCTTTTGAGCCAGAAAGAAGCTTTACGGGAATCAAATTTCAAGAGGTATGGTAGAAGGAGAATGTATACACAGAGGAAATTTGATTCCCAAAACGGCCATTTCGAGCCAGAAAGCAGCTTTACGGGAATCAAATTTCAAGAGGTATTGTAGAAGGCAAATATATACACATAGGAAATTTGATTCCCAAAACGGCCCTTTTGAGCCAGAAAGAAGCTTTACGGGAATCAAATTTCAAAAGGTATGGTAGAAGGAGAATGTATACACATAGGAAATTTGATTCCCAAAACGGCCCTTTCGAGCCAGAAAGCAGCTTTACGGGAATCAAATCTCAAGAGGTATGGTAGAAGGCAAATATATACACATAGAAATTGTGATTCCCAAAACGGCCCTTTGGAGCCGAAAAGCAGCTTTATGGGAATCAAATTTCAAGAGGAATTTGATTCCCAAAACGGCCCTTTCGAGCCAGAAAGCAGCTTTACGGGAATCAAATTTCAAGAGGTATTGTAGAAGGCAAATATATACACATAGGAAATTTGATTCCCAAAACGGCCATTTCGAGCCAGAAAGCAGCTTTACGGGAATCAAATTTCAAGAGGTATGGTAGAAGGAGAGTGTATACACATAGGAAATTTGATTCCCAAAACGGCCATTTCGAGCCAGAAAGCAGCTTTACGGGAATCAAATTTCAAGAGGTATTGCTTTTGAGCCAGAAAGAGCTTTACGGGAATCAATTTCAAATGTATGGTAGAAGGAGAATGTATACACATAGGAATTTGATTCCCAAAACGGCCATTTCGAGCCAGAAAGCAGCTTTACGGGAATCAAATTTCAAGAGGTATGGTAGAAGGAGAGTGTATACACAAGGAAATTTGATTCCCAAAACGGCCTTTGAGCCAGAAAGAAGCTTTACGGGAATCAAATTTCAAGAGGTATGGTAGAAGGAGAGTGTATACACAAGGAAATTTGATTCCCAAAACTTTTGGCCAGAAAGAAGCTTTACGGGAATCAAATTTCAAGAGGTATGGTAGAAGGAGAATGTATACACATAGGAAATTTGATTCCCAAAACGGCCATTTCGAGCCAGAAAGCAGCTTTACGGGAATCAAATTTCAAGAGGTATGATAGAAGGAGATGTATACACAGAGGAAATTTGATTCCCAAAACGGCCATTTCGAGCCAGAAAGCAGCTTTACGGGAATCAAATTTCAAGAGGTATAGTAGAAGGAGAATGTATACACATAGGAAATTTGATTCCCAAAACGGCCCTTTTGAGCCAGAAAGCAGCTTTACGGGAATCAAATTTCAAAAGGTATGGTAGAAGGAGAATGTATACACATAGGAAATTTGATTCCCAAAACGGCCCTTTCGAGCCAGAAAGCAGCTTTACGGGAATCAAATTTCAAGAGGTATGGTGAAGGATAATGTATACACATAGAAAATTTGATTCCCAAAACGGCCCTTTTGAGCCAGAAAGAAGCTTTACGGGAATCAAATTTCAAGAGGTATGGTAGAAGGAGAATGTATACGCATAGGAAATTTGATTCCCAAAACGGCCATTTCGAGCCAGAAAGCAGCTTTACGGGAATCAAATTTCAAGAGGTATGATAGGAGGAGAGTGCATACACAGAGGAAATTTGATTCCCAAAATGGCAATTTCGAGCCAGAAAGCAGCTTTACGGGAATCAAATTTCAAGAGGTATGGTAGAAGGAGAATGTATACACATAGGAAATTTGATTCCCAAAACGGCCCTTTTGAGCCAGAAAGAAGCTTTACGGGAATCAAATTTCAAGAGGTATGGTAGAAGGAGAATGTATACACATAGGAAATATGATTCCCAAAACGGCCATTTCGAGCCAGAAAGCAGCTTTACGGGAATCAAATTTCAAGAGGTATTGTAGAGGGCAAATATATACACAGAGGAAATTTGATTCCCAAAACGGCCATTTCGAGCTAGAAAGCAGCTTTACGGGAATCAAATTTCAAAAGGTATGGTAGAAGGAGAATGTATACACATAGGAAATTTGATTCCCAAAACGGCCCTTTCGAGCCAGAAAGCAGCTTTACGGGAATCAAATTTCAAAAGGTATGGTAGAAGGAGAATGTATACACATAGGAAATTTGATTCCCAAAACGGCCCTTTCGAGCCAGAAAGCAGCTTTACGGGAATCAAATTTCAAGAGGTATGGTTGAAGGATAGTGTATACACATAGAAATTTTGATTCCCAAAACGGCCCTTTTGAGCCAGAAAGAAGCTTTACGGGAATCAAATTTCAAGAGGTATGGTAGAAGGAGAATGTATACACATAGGACATTTGATTCCCAAAACGGCCATTTCGAGCCAGAAAGCAGCTTTACGGGAATCAAATTTCAAGAGGTATGGTAGAAGGAGAGCGTATACACAGAGAAAGTTTGATTCCCAAAACGGATCTTTTGAGCCAGAAAGAAGCTTTACGGGAATCAAAGTTCAAAAAGATACCAAAAGCTACGGAGCTGTTAAAATGTTTTTTCCGGAGCCTTGTAGCGATGCCTGTCCAACTTGGCAAAACAACCTAAAGAGAAACTTGCGCTTACCTTACGCCAGACTTGGGTTCAAAACAGGCATTGCAAAGGCAAAAAACTTCACTAAATCCAACCAAACCTTCTATGTGTATACATTCTCCTTCTACCATACCTCTGGAAATTTGATTCCCGTAAAGCTGCTTTTTGGCTCGAAATGGCCTTTTTGGGAATCAAACCTTCTACGTGTTTACACTCTCCTTCTACCATACCTCTTGAAATTTGATTCCAGTAAAGCTGCTTTTTGGCTCGAAATGGCCGTTTTGGGAATCAAACCTTCTATGTGTTTACACTCTCCTTCTACCATACCTTTTGAATTTTTGATTCCCGTAAAGCTGCTTTTTGGCTCCAAATGGCCGTTTTGGGAATCAAATTTCCTATGTGTATACACTCTCCTTCTACCAAAAGACCTCTTGAAATTTGATTCCCGTAAAGCTTCTTTCTGGCTCAAAAGGGCCGTTTTGGGAATCAAAATTTCTATGTGTATACACTATCCTTCACCATACCTCTTGAAATTTGATTCCCGTAAAGATGCTTTCTGGCTCGAAAGGGCCGTTTTGGGAATCAAATTTCCTATGTGTATACATTCTCCTTCTACCATACCTCTTGAAATTTGATTCCCGTAAAGCTGCTTTTCGGCTCGAAAGGGCCGTTTTGGGAATCAAACTTTATAAGTGTATAATTGTGTATACACTCTGCTTCTACCATACCTCTTGGAATTTGATTCCGTTTTGGTAGGTATGGTTCCGTCTGTCCTGCCGACCAGCTCTGAGCCGCTACAGCAGCAGATATTCACTGATACAGAAAAGAACAACGATATTAATATATCTTGCGCCCGCCCTTGCGCTTTCTTGCGCCTCCCAGGCAAAACGGACTACAAATTTACAACAACATACTCCATTCATACGTTTGTATAAAACACCTCTGCGGGGGTTTTGATCGTCACTCATTTATATATGTATATTATATATACTGTATATACAATTATATACAGGTTTTTCAATCTTGTCAAGGAGTCATCCTGTACGTGACTTCAATTGGCTTTTGTATCTCTTGTCCTGGGCATCTTGTTGGTCTGCATCTCGAAATAAATGCCTGGCAAACCTGAGAATTCGGAACATCACACGGATCGATTGCGAGTCCGATTCGGAGTGACAATTCCCTCTGGGTGCCCTGGGTGCCCTGGGTGCCCTGAGTGCCCTGCTTTGACAAAGTACTATGGATGTGTGAAGGCGAGTGGGTCCGACTTCGGCGTTGCCAGAGCATTTCCTGCAAGTCCGTTTTCCTTTGAACGACACAGTGCAACAAACCGTTTGAATTACCACAGTTACCACTACCTTTGCCGCAGGTTGCATTTGTTCAGAGTTCAGAGGGCTCCTGCAACTTGGCGAATCCTTTGGCCAAATGCCTCACAAAGCTTCACATTCAGCCGCAAATCAAAAGCACTGTCTAGGATGCCTAGGCATATGTCTGGAGATGTCTGGTGGTTGCAATATTGGCAATCAATCATTCATACACAAGGCACATTTTTCCCAAACCAGCGCTCATGCGGGAAGCTGTGAGATCAATCTAGTGGTACAGTAGTAGATCTGTGGGTAGATCTGCCAGGCTAGGTCTGTAAAACATTGTAAAACTATAAAGTCTATACTATTTGCACAAATCAGCAACTGAATTGATGATACAGTCTGGCTTTTCAGCCTCAAGTTCCTCTTTGGACTGCGTTCCAGTCAGCACAGAGACACAATGCACTCCAGCATTTCGGCCCTCGTGAATGTCCACTTTTGTATCTCCAACTTTCACGACACGCTTTGGGTCGGTCACACCGCATTTCTCCATGGCTGCCAAGATCATGATGGGGTCGGGCCTTCCCTTACCCAATGTCACTGATGAGAATGCAGCATCAACAGACCATCCCAGATTCTCAACAATTTTCTGCACCACGTGCTCAGGGAATCCTGAACCAACACAAATCTTTACCCCGCGTTTTCGAAGTTCGGCAAAAGTTTCTGAAGTTCCTTTGATTTCAGAATTCATCGATTCCATCAGCTTGTCCAGCTGCTTGTTAAAAATTTTGAAAAGAGTGTCCACTTCTGAATCCTCCGCACTTTTTCCACGGACAGAGGCAAGAAGACGACGTAAAGCCTCTTTCTTTTCATAGCCGCGTACGGCATTGGCTTGGTCAAAGCTGATTTCCGTACCATCGTGCTCTTGCAATGATGCCCGGAAGGCTGCAATCACCAAAGGTTCTCCGTTGACCAAGTCGTCCACTGTAGTGCCTGCCATGTCAAAAACCACAAGTTCCACACCTTCTGGCAGCGCCATGGTGCCGGAATAAGCCGGGATCCTGATTCACTCAAAGTACGAATCAAGGATACCTCAATCGAAACGAAACACGAAAGTAATAAAACGTTTGGCTAGATGAAAGCTTTGAAGCTTTGTTGGACTTGATTATTTCAAAAAACATATTTTACATGGCCTGCTGGAGTGGTATTGATGATCGATTCACTCGCCTGCTTCTTGGTTTCAGTGGCTTGCGAGCCAGTGATTGCCAATAAAGCTATGTCGGTATGCCATGGCGTTATCAAGAATGCATTTTATATTGTCTATAAAAATCTATAAAAACCTGTAAACAGGCTGCCGATCATGTTCGAATGCTTTTTGACAACCAAAAATAAGCCACCCAGGACCGCGCCCTCCAGTCCCATAAGGGTTACTGGGGTTGAGCTCCTTCAAGCATCAATGTATACATACACAATCATACACATACAATCACATGCATACAGCTCATTACAGCTCCATCATATGATAACAGCGGTGCGGTATATGGAGCCATATGTCAAATTTGATTGAAGCTAAAATAGGAAGTCCTCTGCGTACTTGCCGGTGAGAAAGTAGGCGCTGATTGGTTCGATATGACTGGCGCAGTGGCGTTTACCAAGTCTGAAAAGCAAACATGAGCTGACTTTGTGTGCAAAAATGCATTCACCACTGCATCCGGCCTCAAACATTGCAGCCCTGCGTTCATGAAGCAGGTATTTCCCATGTTGACTAATCCAACCAATCCGCCTTGCAGCCACCGTTTGGCTTGGAGATTGTGGCTGGGAGGGCATGCATCAGATTCACAACGCTGCATAGAAACTTGTGGGCCTCTGGATTTGGAGACATGCGCCTGGTTCTTACCCATCCTAGGCTGAAGCAAAACCCTTGAGAGGCTCTTATGCTCTACCCAGCACTGCTCACAGAAGAAAGCCTAAAGATGCCAAAAGTATACGTTCCACTATTAGACTATGTTTGCGAACCAGGCTTGACTATGCGCCGAAAGGATGGCAGATGGGAGAACACCTTGACAAATTTGATAATCCTAACGTCCTAACGAATCTTCCTAAGCCTTCCTAAGCTGCTAAGCTGGCGCATTCCTGGGATCTACACGAGCGCTTCCATTGCTCCGCAGGAGTCCACGGAACCTCGCCCCATAGCGTTTGACACGACAAACAAACGAAACAGAAAACGAGAGAAAAAAAAACAGAAGCTAACATTTGCAAAACAAGAGAAACGAACGAAACAAATCGGTTGCATGCGATGACTCTGCGACAGAAGGCCAAAGGCCCTGACGAGATCTTGTGGGGCAGCGCCACACACGAAAATCCGTGGCACCTAGACACCCAGCTCCATAAGCTGCCACAAGCTGCAAGGAATGCCCAATTCAGGAAGGCACATCCAGAAGCTATCATTCAATGTATAATTGTGACGCATGCGACGCATATAATGCGAAATGATGCGAAATGCAATGAGTGAGGCCTGCCAGCCCTTTCGGCTATCGGAACTGGAGCTGTTCCTGGGAGGAACAAGCCAAGCGAGATGATGAGACAAGATGAGACAAGATGAGACTATGTTTTAACCTGCAAGATAAGCACAAGGAACCCAAGCATCAAAATATCAAAATCAACAAGACTACTTACAATTCTGAGATGCACCTTGAACTTTTGACTCCATTTCTGAGTCCATAGCTGATTGCTGCTCTGAGACCTGAGACAAACATTTCCCGCACACCTCTGACATACGCGTCGTCTGGTGTGCGATCTGTTTTCGACACTGAGAGCCGATCGACTCAGCAGAACCAGCATGACCCATACGTTTTCGTGGTCGCAGACAATCGGCCCTCCTCAGCACAAATGTTCATCGATGTTCATCATGTAAGGCATTGAACAGAAGGAGATGATGAGAGTAGAATACCACCTGATCATCTAATCTCATTTCGCCTCAAAATCTGAGATTTTTGCTGGCACGAAGGCGTCCAAATCAACTTCTCACTTGCATTTCTGACGCGAGTACTTGGGCAAGACCCGCCGACTAGCTGAGCCAAAATGGAATGGTTTGCAGAAAAGGTTGAACCAAGTGCAACATGTCCAACCAAACCCAATGCCTCAACTTTCACACTGTGTGATGTGTGGCCAAAGACTTATTTACCAATACCAGAAATTTGGCATGGAGGCAACTCCTCAGACCTTTTTCGGTGGGCGAAACGTCGCACTGACAACAACAATCCGAAGCACCGTAAGTGCTATTCATGTGAAAATGCTCTGTGGCTCACATCCAACCTTTGTCCTCATTGATCCTAAATGATTCTACATTATTCTTGCTTGTAGCTCATTGTAGCTCTCTGCTCATATTCAGGTGCTTCTCCGCTTCTGCTCCAGATCTGCATCTCCATGCTTGTTACTATCATGTTCGGGAGAACAATACCAACAAACATGCAACAAATATGCATCAAATTGTGTTCACATCTGTTTGTCCTATGCCCTTCTGCAGGGCGGCCTAGGGGGCTCACTGCTGCAGCTCGCCGCTGAGACCTGAACCAGGAAATCAAACAACAACATGGTCATGATACATAGTGTATTATATAATAATTATATATAATATGATATAATATGATATAATAAGATATAATATATGTATACGGTTACTGTATAAGATGCTCTAAATAAAACCTCAAGAAGCATCGTCCAGCAATTCGTCAGGTTTCATAGATTTTGTTCAAATGTGCGAGGCCAGATGCTGCTGACATCTGCTGACAACAGAAAGAATCATAGGTCCGACAGCCGTCTCGGTCTTGAAATTTCTTGCCTCAAGCTGAACCCCAAGGCACTATTGCGTTCGCGGAGCGCCACAATTCCTGGCTCATTGAGCTTCAGTTTCAAGTTCAAGGATCTCTAAGTCTTAGTTCTCTTGGAAAGGAGTTCTTGCCCTGGGGCTGCTGTTCACTAGCGGACACTGGATACTGTCCCATACAGGCAGACTGTCGCTCCTGCACTCCCGATTTCGGGCAAATTGATGATCCCCGCACTTGGCGCATGTCCAGTCGCCTTCCCAGTAATCCTGCATTTGCACGAAGCTTTTCAAATCTTTTCAAATCTTAGCTTCCAAGCCGCCTGTGCGCCAAAATCTGACACTAAGTAGCTGGCGGATTGTGCAGTAGGAGGCGCAGCGGTTTTTCTTTCCTGCTGCAGAGCATGGCCTTGCTGGTAGAGAGACATCAACGAAGCCATTTGTCGCCTTAGTCTTCTCGCTGACAAAGTTGCGTCACGGCTTGATATTGCAAACGATTGCGAATATCAGCCACTTTTGATATACCTTGATGCTATATATTGATATTATATATATATATGTATATATATATTGCTATATTGTATCAGAATAGCATCCAAAACTTGATAAGAATGATCGTACTTCTGACACGACGGCTAAATTCAAGTCAGCTGCTGAACCCAGAAATTCTGGTATGCCGTCTCTGCAGCTACAGCCTTGCGGCAGCGAAAGTGCTTGTTTTCAGCAGAATGTGTCATGATGTGTCATCAGTGTGCAATCACCACGGCCTGCTGTGCTTGCTGCTTTTGAGCCTTTTCCTCTGCTTCCTTCTTTTCCCTCTCCTCCTGCTTCTGACCTGAACATGCTTGCAAAGACAGGCAGCGGCAGGACCCTGTTCCCTCTGTAAGTCAATCAGGCGCTTTCAAATCTTTCAGAGTCTTACAGAATCTTTCCGGCACCTGCGCTACGCCTGTGTTGTCTTGTCGTCTCTTGGATACAGCTTTTACGAAGGACTGATTATTTCCAGCCGAGGCACGAATCTGAGCAAGCACGGCACGTTGTTCCGGAGTCAGGTCGTCAGCTGCAGGTGCCACAGGTTCAAGAGGCAAGCTGGAAGAGGCACTGGCATCCATTGAGACACCAGGGGAGAGTCCTGGTGGGAGCGGAGGGACCCCTGAAGACACGCCTGGAGACATCTGTGGTGCAAGCGGGGCTGGTGCAGAAGTTTGGACAGGTGCACCCTGCTCTGCTTGTTTCTTTCTCAACACAGCTTGGAGAGCTGGAGGAAGTGTTGCAATTTGTGCTTCTGTTAGTGGAGCATCCAAGGCACTTGCAACCTTACCTGGCACACCAGGTGTTCCCAGTGGAGCACTGTACCCATTCGCAGGCCCAATCGCGGGCAAGTTTGGCGGTGGGGCAGTTTTTGGATGCGCTCCAGTACCAGTTGTGGCAGGGATAGCTGTGCTGCCAGCTGCACCACCAGCACTTGTACCTCAGAGCTCATGATGTCTCGGGATGTGTCGGCGAAGGCATCACGCTTCTCAGGCTCACATCTACTACTTGGCGCCGCACTTGGGCTGCTGGATGTTCCTGCTCCAAATACAGCCTGCATATCTCTGATTTGGAACCCCCCTCTCAAGTCCTTATTGCGTTCACATTGGGAACTCTTAGACAGTCTCTTTGGGCCTGCTCTGCTGCCCGAGCCGCAGAATTCAGGTCAAGTGAAGCCTAATGAAATTGCGAGCCAAATCACAAAACGATAAATTAACGTTACATATAAATACGCTAAATACCTAATTACTGTATGTATACACATGATTTCAGACGTGCATCTCATGATAATCATCCATATCCTTTCCGCCAATTCAAATGAGCTTGACGCCGCAGTGTAGATACTCTGGGTACCCAGCAGGTCTAGTGGAGGGCATGGAATCAGATGCAGGCACTGCGGTCTGCTCTGACTCTTGCTTTGGCCCTAGAAGGCCTGCAACCTGACGTAGCAAAGCCTTTTCAACACAAAGAACCTAGGGAACTTGAAAAATTGGTTGTTTGACATCACTCGGCCGCCAGCCTCCTTTCCCAAAAGCGATGCAGCCTGTAAGACAGTTAAGCCACAAGTTCTAGGTTTGCCGCGCTTGCTCCAAAGATCTTTCTGCTAAGGCTGGCACCAGATTAGCCAAGGAGGATTGCACATTATTTTTTTTGCCTAGCATGGCTCTATGACTGAAGTGCACCTTTGAAGACACAGCTTGTGAGGAAAGTAGATCACAGGCCCTTGTCAGCCCAGTCACTCTCAAGTTCTGCTGAAAGCGTGAAAGACTTTGCAGGGATCGCATCAAGGCCTGCAAAGGATCGCATCCAACTCTGAGGAAAAGTCACACAAAGTGAATCACAATACATAAATATGTCTTTTAACATCTTCAACTTGCCAAAGTGAATTGCACCAAGTAGATAGCCTGCTGAAGTACAATGAATACAATCTCTTGATATCAATTTGAGATTTTTGCGGATCTCAGTTGATCTCAGTTGACATGAGATGCAACTTGCAGGGCAACTTGTCATGTCTTGTCATGTCACATGGTCCTGGACTTGAGCTGGCAGGTGGAGCCGACGGAGCCGACGGAGCCGACGGAGCCGGCAGAGCCGGTGGAGCCGTTGGCAGCGGAGGCGCCGTCGCCGGCACTGGTGGTGCCGGAGGTCCTGGAGCGATCAGCGTCTGAGATTTTCCAATTGGACCAGAAGGGTCAACAATAACATTGAAACATTGTATGTATGCATCTACATGTGTATATGATATATATATGATTATATGTGAGTGTGTGCATAATACATCCAAAAATAATAATTATATATGTGTGAAATATGTGAAATATGCTGAATCTAATCCAATCTAGGCCTGGTGTGGTGAAGCTATCTAATCCAGTTTGGGTCTCGGAGTTTAGACTGAAAGTCTCACCAGTCAAGCACCTGGGTGTGTCTGGAAAAGAGGCATACCGCAAAATTGCATGTTTGAGGAAAATGATGTTTATGGATTTGGGGGTGCCCTATTTTCAGACAAACCCACCCATTTTCGAATCAAAACGTCCTGGCATCGATTGCAGATGGCCAGGTATCCCAGAGCCTCCTGCGACCATTTGAGGAGCTTGGCCCAAAGCCGGGCTTCCTTGCGCTGCGGGGAACTGAACCAGCTGAGCATACTATACAATCATGTATGTATATATATATAATGTGTATATATATATTGTTATTACATGTTATTACCACGATTACTATCACCATTGCTATAAATATTACTACCACTATTTCCATCACTATTACAATGTCGTTATCATTATTATTATCATTATTATTGTTGTTATCAATGTTATCATGATTGATTGGTTGTTGTGTTGCTATCGTTATTGTTGTTTTTGGTAGGCGGTTGATACAGCGCCCTGTGAGGGTGTCGAATTTTGATATCTCATATTTAAGGTAGCCACGTTAGTCATGGGGTCGTATCAACTGCCTGCCGTAGAGGGATGGGGGGTGCGGGGGGGTGGGGTACACTTGCGCAACAAATTGAATGCTACGCAGTGCTACGTTGATGTACACTTTCTAGTTGGACTCCACGTGGCGTCACTTGAAGAAGTGGCGCCCTCAGAGTTTGCAGCAAAAGATAAATTCGGCTGTAAATGGCATGTGGTACAAATACGCAAGCTCCTACATGCGGAGACACAATGCCAAGAGTGCCAACAATTTGACTTTGAGAAACCGGAGCAACATTCTGTGGCGCTGATGTTGAAAAAGAACTTGCTGAAGCGGCTGCTCATCCCAGTTCTTGAAAACACACAAATTCTAATGCGTTTTTTTCAGCCCATCGATGACAAAATTAGCATTTCGCTGTAACGAAATGCTGATTTGACTCTCAAGTCATGCGCCTGCCATCGAAAAATCAACATGAACTTTGTTCTCCATTTTACAAAGTACCACAAATACCACGTTTCTATTTTTTTCACAAAGAAACAATGAAATTTAAATCGACAACCCTTCACAGGGCGCCAAACCAACCGCCTACCTTGTTCTTGTTGATTATCATTATCATAATATATCAAGCAACAAATTAGCGGCTTATCAAAGTCCTGGTGGCAACGGTGGTACGGACTTCGTCTTCGCAACGGCCGCAACGCCAATGCCTTCAGAAAGCTGGCGTTGGCAGTGGCCCGTTTATCCCGTTTCCTCTGAAGAAAAACTGAAGAAAAAGACCTGCCTGGCGGTGAAAACTTTGCACCACTCACAGACATAGGCGCTGGCGGAAGTGCCGGCGCCTCAGCGACCATGGCATGGTTTGCTGGTTTCATCTTCCGTTCTTCCCTAATCAAACATGACAGTGGGACATCCCCATCATCCCCCATAAATTTTGGCCCATAAATGGTCGTTTCAATGTGGAAATCAATGAACATCAATGAAAATCATCATGGAGAATTTCAGAAGGTCCAACAAGTTTCTTCGTCCTTGGATACAGACCGGTTGTGATGAGACAGCTGCAGGGCCTCCAGGGCCTCCAGGGCCCTCAGGGACATCGGAAGTCAACGGCTTTGAAGAACTGCGAGTTCTGAGGGTCGTGCGAAAGGAGGGAAGGCAACTGGCAGAGCTCCATCTGGTGCCTGCATCAAAGCATTGAAGCAGGTGTGTCTCAACATAGGCCACTCCTTGATCCACGGGTTAACAGCATGTTCCCATATTTTCCCTATGAAAACTGCCATTTGATACCCCATTTTCGGATGCATCCAAGTACGAGCGGAAGCTCAAGCTCTGCCAATGTGCTGAGATCCCGGCCTTTCCACCTGAAGGAGCAACCTCTTCGCCAGGTGAAGGCCGGGCCTTGGACAAGCATCCCGAGGCTTAAGTCCTGGAACATGCAAATCCTTCAAAGTTCATCAAAGTTGTAGGCGGTTGAATGGGAAAAAAACTAAAATGATTGAACTATATGATGTAAGCTAGCTTTAACATGATACACAAGTAGATATTATATAATCATACCAGTAGTACCGCACAAGGCGGTGGCGGAAGTTTCAAAAATAAAAAACCTATAGGAAGGGTTGGTTGTTGTGAATCCGGAATGGCAGAGGGAAGCCACTGATGGATCGAAAGGCGATTGATGTCTCCTCTCTTTCTCTCTCTTTCTCTGACTATCTACCTACCTACCTATCTAGCTATGTATCTAACTATCTATCGCTCTATCTGTCTATCTATCTATCTATCTATCTACCTATCTATCTATCTATCTCTCTCTCTCTCTATCTCTCTCTATCTATCTATCTATCTATCTCTCTCTCTCTATCTCTCTCTATCTATCTATCTATCTATCTATCTATCTATCTATCTATCTATCTATCTATCTATCTATCTATCTATCTATCTATCTATCTATCTATCTATCTATCTATCTATCTATCTATCTATCTATCTATCTAATCTATCTAATCTATCTAATCTATCTATCTAATCTATCTAATCTATCTATCTATCTATCTATCTATCTATCTATCTATCTTTGTATCTATCTATCTATGTATGCATCTATCGATCTATCTGTCGATCTATTTATCGATCTATCAATCTCATCTGTTTCATCCATGTCATCTGTCTATCTATCTATCTGTCTATCCTATCTATCTATCTATCCATCTATCTATCTTTCTTTCTTTCTGGCGATCTATCTATCTATCTCTCTCGCTCTCTCTGCTTTGAAACAAGTTGCAACTTGAGAAAACGAAAATGGTGTGGAGAATGTGGAGCACATGCGCACGGCTACATGTTTGCTTGAGACCGACCTCGCCTAATCAGATTGCCTGTGTCTTTGCAACTCTGCAACTGCCCCTTTTTTTGCTTTGTCTGCGTGCATGAATTACAACAAGCCACTGTCAAAAAGAGTGCGCAGTGCAGTGATGCTGGTGGAGCGGCACCTCGAGAAGATTCGGAGGACATGATCCTTCTCGGGTCGAACCCACCGAATCAGAAAGTTTGTGAGATAGGAAAAATGCTAATTCAAGAAGCGGAGTGCGCAGGGCCGGGCCTTCAGCCTCAGCCTCCGTGGCTGTGTCAAAATAAAACGAACAGCTTGGCCGGCTTCTCGCCCCAGGAAGACTTTGTTCCCAGGCAGCCAAACCATGCCTAAGGGCGTGTTGCCCAACACCTTTTTCACAATGTCCTCGTACAGCTCAAAGGTCCGGGTCTTGGTGGCAGAGGGATCTTCAAGCCTGCGTGCCGAGATAAAGAAAGATAGATTCAGATAGTTATCATTACTAGACACAAGCGCAAAGGCACGTGGACGATCAAAACGCGATGTGTGCAGCTACAGCTACACTTGCTAGCCCAACGTGCTAAGTCTTGTCAAGCCCCTGTCCAGCCTCAGCTCCGCCGCCGTGATTGCAGTACTGCGCTGGCCCCGCTTCTTGACGTCACCTGCAGGCAAGGAACCGTTCACAAATTGAATCTGGCTTGACTTATATTAAAAAAAAAGGTTCAGGGTTGCATGCATTGCGCTTGTGTCTTGGGGATCGAGTGGAAACGAGGAACCACGGGAAGGTCAGGGGCCATGCCGAGAAATTCATGCACTTATCGACCCGCGCCTTCGCGAAGAAAATCGGCAAGCAGGGCCAGCATCGCTTCCAAGGAATGTTTCTTTGGAACATCCATGGAGCGGTGGCCCAGGATGCAGAAGCGCAGGGCCCAGCGCATCGTTTCATCCTGGCAAGAACGGCATGCAATCTTTGTCATTGTGGGTTGTTATATGGTTGTTATGAGGATGCAATGCTGAAAACCCGTCGATAACATGAAATTGTGAACTGCATGAATGCATGGAGCTGGAGCGCAGTGTCCTGCAATGGGGCCTTTGATGCCAAGGCCTTGTCCGCCGCCCGCTCTGCCATGGCGGTAACCGAGCCATGCAGGCGGGGAGTTTTGAGCTCCGCAACGTACTGCTCGTATGCAGCCGTGCGCTCCTCAAGATACATCGTCGATCTCCTGCTCTTTTCGCACGAGGGCCGTGTCGACTTCCTGCCAGCAGGTCACTTTATAAAGACATATAGCAAGAAGGTAAAATACTGTTTATATTACCTTTTTTTCGCGGGCATCACTGCGCAACAAAAAGTTCATGGTAGCCCCATTCCAAACCAGCAGACTGATACGACTGTTTTCTATCGGCACCATCAGCATACATTCGCTTTTTTAAACCTTAAGTTGCGAAGCGCCTCTGCCACATCTTCCATGCTTGCGGCTGCCACGGCATGCTCCGTCGCTTCTGCCAGGGCGATGAGCTGTGGACAGAAGCTGAGCATGTTGAGGTCGCCGTCGAAGTCACCGCCTGTCATGTGCATCTGGTGTTCATTCGTTAACAGGATGAGCGCACAGCAATAGCATCAAGGCACTGACAGATTCCTAGATCGATCACTGGCTGCGGCCCAGCCCTGCCTGCCATGTTCGAGTTGCAGTCCCCTTCGGCAGAGACGACCACACAGTTGTCTTCGAGAAGGGCACCTTCTGGCGGCGCGACGGCTTCCCAGACCTGACGCGACATGGGAACCACCAAAGTCTTTTGCCAACAGCTGGGTGAAATGAAGCTGTACATTGCTGAAAAAAATACACTGCTCCACACATGCACGCACACAACCCCACCAAGCGACACCGAACACTTTCCTGCCTCAATGTCCGTCGGCGCCTGGCTGGGGGAGCGCCACACGGCACATTTGCCAACGAGAATTTTGCCGTTGACCACCAAATAGCAGGCCTTGTCCTGAATTAGGCGACAGACAGAGCAAACAGTTTCAATGAATGACAGGCATTGCGGTGCTTCTCATGTTTTGCTTGCGTCCGTCTACCCCCTCTTTCTTCATCCCGTACCCCCTTCTTCTTTACCCTGCCTTGATCTCACCGCTGACGTCGACCAAAGCGGTGACGGTGGCCCCGACGCCCGGAATTTTTAGTTGCGGCTTCTTTCCCCGCAGCCGCTGGTGCCTTATTTCGGTTTGAGACGTGGCAAGCAGCGCAAATGAATAATTAAGGTCTTATCGACAAGCGACAAGTGCGCACTACAAGCAACATGGAGCAAATAATCATATCCAAGCAACAGGCCCCAGGCTGCAGAAGAGCCACGGCGCAGCGCGTTGCGGGTGCCGCGCAGGGCAGGAAGGCTCTTCTTCCTCCTCTTCCTGTGATGGGATGTCCGAAGAATGTTCATGTTCATGAACGAGCGCACAGCCTATATCTGCAGGGAGTGCGCGCAACGCAATGACCAACAACCGTGCCTTGAGAAGGTCGGCCATAGGAGTAAGGCTGCCGCGGGCCTCCTCGTCCTCGACGACTGCGACCTTGATGTTGCCCGTAGGGCAGCGCCGACGGTGCCACTTCATGTTCCTCCTGGAGGCAGCAGATCAAAGAGAGAAAGCATTTCTTTCGTCCATCACTGCTTGCATCACTTAGACAAGAAACAAGCCCACCGTTACCTCCCAAACATGTTAAAAGTTGAAGCAACTAACTACAACAGGCTGAACGATTGTTGGCTTGCTTGCGGTCCTCTCCGGACGCGGCTGTTCGTCGTCCGGGTCAGGCAGCCCAAACGCCTCATAGGGCAGCTGGCGTAGCGTCTCACCCCTGCAGCTGCAGACCGCGAGGAACTTCTTGTAGAGTTCCTCGGCGATTGGCATGCGCAGCATGTCGAAATTGCATCAGCCAATGTGCCATGACGTTACAATTTCACACGTGGCCAAGATATATCCCGTCCCCTGATAGCAGGGGGCTGCAGCGCCACGCGAAGACGCAGCACCGCGGCCAAGGACGCGCCACACCTGGACAAGAAAGTGCACGGAGCTGTCTGCATCATGAATCATCCGTGATACTGTGCTCCTATGTGCTGTGGTTCGTGTGTGTTTGTGTGCGCGCATCAAATGCAAAGAGTGTGCCATGAGCCTTTCCAAGGGCAGCTACACGCCCCAGCCATCTGTTCTTAAGGGCGTTCAAGACTGCCGTTTGCCCGCCTTCAAACCCCTCAAACCCCTCAAACCCTTCAAACCCTTCCGCAGGCCTCCAGCAACAATAGCCATCTGTTGGGCGTTCAAGCCTGCCGCTTGCTCTCAAATGCCTTCAAACCCTTCAATCCCTTCAACCTTCCCGCAGGCCTTTCCAAGGCAACTCTCGCAGCGACACGCCCCAGCCAACGCTTCAAACTCTTCCGCAGGCCTTTCCAAGGCAACTCTCGCAGCTACACGCCCCAGCCATCTGTTCTTAAGGGCGTTCAAGACTGCCGTTTGCCCGCCTTCAAACCCCTCAAACCCTTCAAACCCTTCAAACCCTTCCGCAGGCCTCCAGCAACAATAGCCATCTGTTTTTAAGGGCGTTCAAGCCTGCCGTTTGCTTGCCCTCAAATGCATCAAACCCTTCAAACCCTTCAATCCCTCCACCACCGGAGGTGTGGAACCTGCCATGGCCGGCACATTCCAGCAACAATCGCTCGCCGCGGCAGCTCCCACGACCAAACCTTCCCGCAGGCCTTTCCAAGGCAACTCTCGCAGCGACACGCCCCAGCCAACGCTTCAAACACTTCCGCAGGCCTCTCCAAGGCAACTCTCGCAGCGACACGCCCCAGCCAACGCTTCAAACTCTTCCGCAGGCCTTTCCAAGGCAACTCTCGCAGCTACGCGCCCCAGCCATCTGTTCTTAAGGGCGTTCAAGACTGCCGTTTGCCCGCCTTCAAACCCCTCAAACCCTTCAAACCCTTCCGCAGGCCTCCAGCAACAATAGCTACTGTTTTTACGGGCGTTCAAGCCTGCCGTTTGCTTGCCCTCAAATGCCTTCAAACCTTTCAAACCCTTCAACCTTCCCGCAACCCACGCCCCACTAAACCTTCCCGCAGGCCTTTCCAAGGCAACTCTCGCAGCGACACGCCCCAGCCAACGCTTCAAACTCTTCCGCAGGCCTTTCCAAGGCAACTCTCGCAGCTACACGCCCCAGCCATCTGTTCTTAAGGGCGTTCAAGACTGCCGTTTGCCTGCCTTCAAACCCCTCAAACCCCTCAAACCCTTCAAACCCTTCCGCAAGCCTCCAGCAACAATAGCCATCTGTTGGGCGTTCAAGCCTGCCGCTTGCTCTCAAATGCCTTCAAACCCTTCAAACCCTTCAACCTTCCCGCACACCTTTCCAAGGCAACTCTCGCAACGACACGCCCCAGCCAACGCTTCAAACTCTTCCGCAGGCCTTTCCAAGGCAACTCTCGCAGCTACACGCCCCAGCCATCTGTTCTTAAGGGCGTTCAAGACTGCCGTTTGCCCGTCTTCAAACCCCTCAAACCCTCCAAACCCTTCCGCAAGCCTCCAGCAACAATAGCCATCTGTTGGGCGTTCAAGCCTGCCGTTTGCTTGCCCTCAAATGCCTTCAAACCCTTCAAACCCTTCAAACCCTTCAAACCCTTCAAACCCTCCCGCAGGCTTTCCGCAGGCCGTTCCAAAGCAACTGTCGCAGCTACACGCCCCAGCCATCTGTTTTTCAGGGCGTTGAAGCTCTGTTTGCATGCCGTCAAACACTTAAACCCTTCTTTTTCCAAGGCAACTCTCGCAGCTACACGCCCCAGCCATCTGCTTTAGAGGGCGTTCAAGACTGCCGTTTGCCCGCCTTCAAACCCCTCAAACCCCTCAAACCCTTCAAACAGTTCCGCAGGCCTCCAGCAACAATAGCCATCTGTTTTTAAGGGCGTTCAAGCCTGCCGTTTGCTTGCCCTCAAATGCCCTCAAACCGTTGAGGATCTGGAACATGAATCCCGGGGTTTCAACCCCTGCAATGCAAGCTGCTGGGGGGATGAAGATTTGATTGGGAGGTGCAGCAGGATTTCAAGAACCTGCCATCCCCTTTTGGCGGCCACCCGTGCCATCCAAAAGATGCTAGGGTTATATCACCAACAGTTCAATGGAATGGAGCTAACATGATGCTTGTGTGTCTTGTCATGTTGGCAAATGCACTGAGACACGGTTCCTCTAAACCAGCTGGCAATTGGCTATCTCGCCTGTCTATGTGTCTAGCTATTCACCCATCTACCTGTCTGTCTGTCTGTCTATCTATCCATCCATCCATCCATCCATCTATCTATCTATCTATCTCTCTCTACAGGACCCCCCCAAATGGTCAATTTTTCATAATTTTTTGGTATTGTCCACGCGTAAACATCCTGTAATTTACAATGTTTTTATGCCTTTGGCATCTAAAAAAAGCTTCTGACAACATGCTGGAAACTGCGTAAATACCAGTGTTTTTGCTAGGCCCGGGCCACAAAACACTGTAAATACCGTGATTTTTGCTAGCAGAGGCTCAAAACCTCGTAAATACATTTACGAGGTTTTGCGTTGGCGCGGAGCCAAAAACATCGGTATTTACAGTGTTTTTTTGTTCCGAGAACGTGAAAAATCGCGAAAACACCGCTTATTTGACGCTTTTTGGGGGTTTGCAAAAACCGTCGGTTTGACGATTTTGGGGGGTTTGCAAAAAGTACCAACTACAAAGATAACAACGACAACGACAACAGGACCAAGCAGCAACAACTATAACAACAATAACAACAACGACGACAACGACGACGCCGCCGCCGACGACGACGAAGACGACGACAACAACGACAACGACGACAATGACGATTCTTACCTAGTTCAGATGAAATCCCCCTCTCTCTTTCCCTCCCCTGACCCCTACAGGCATCGCCGGTGTGCGAAGCTCTACAATATGTTCATTGCTCTCTGGATTCGGTCTCAGCCCACTGCTCTTCTCCAATCAGACAACATCGGCTTCCTCGACAGCGATAGTGCAGTGCAATCATGGTGTCTTAACGAAAGGACTGTTGAAATTCAACGACCAATTTCTTCTCCATATTCCCCTCTGTGAAAGGTTGAAGTTGGGTGAATCTTGACAAGGTGCTTGGGATCGGCGCCAGCTTTCCCAGAGTTCACTGCCTGATGAGGTCACTTCTGAAACTCTTTGAACATCTTTGAACTTTGGACCTAACTTGTTCGACCGATACCCACCGACACAGGAAGAGCCACCGTGCCTTTGACCCTGCGTACTGCATCAGCTCACCTGTATACCCGGGCTTGCAGTCCAATCCCATCCAGTCCCTCAACCCTAAGACTATGCGAATACTATGTGAATCTATGCCAGACCAGTTTGATCCATGTTGCGTCCATCTGAGACCAGAGTAATCCAAAGGGATTCAAAGGGCTTCATGTTCCAACGTGTATCCAGCCGTATCAGTCCTTCTGCAAGAGCAGTGAGGTTCTCGTACTCACCTTCGTATGGCTCCTCTACGCAAGCTGGACATCAAAAGGACCTACTGTACATGAGAAGTTGCACCTGCTATTGCACATGGAGAGATGCACAGAGTATACATGGGATGTAGAAGGGAAGTTGCACTTGAAGCCATCTGGTTCCAGCTGTCCTTTTCTTTGTCTTGCACCTAGCACCAACGCAAAGTGCCAGAGGATAAGTAGAGGATAATGGCTGAGCGGCCAGAGTTGAGCTAGGCATGTGCCGAACAATGGGTCCACACCGGTCCACACCCAAAACCTGAATAGTTTGCGGTTTTGTGATTTTGGTATGCTTTGGTGGTGAGGAAGCTACTCCTAAGAGATGTGCAATTAGCAGTTGTTGTCGGGCCTTTTAGAAAATGTGCTAAAAAAGGTTCATCTTATGGGTCATCCACTAACAGGCAAACCAAGCTATGGATTTGCCAAACCCCATCTTGCGCAGTCAAAACAAAATTATACAAAGGGTTTTGGCCCAAGAGACCCGAAGGAACTCTAGTGTGTAACAATCATATCAATCATATGTCTCGAGTTTTTTTCGGTGCGGTCCAGCCCTTCATATCACAAATCGTGTGCCTTGGCCTCCGGTAGCAGCGGCTTGTCAGGCACCATTTTTGCCACCTGTCCACATCTGCATCTGGGCATTCTCTTGGTCATCATTGAAACTGAACAAAGATAATTACCACTGACCAGTGCCTGCTGGATAGCAATCCTCAGGTCATCAAACATGGCAGCACATTTCAGTGGTACTACGTGGCACTCTAAAGATCCATCGTCAGAAGATCAAGAAGGACAACAAAAAAGTTGCAAGTCCAGTTGCGAAGATTGCGTAGGGAATGGCTGCATCCCCGGAGTGTGAGGCACCCAAGTGGTATTGAAAGGGTCCACTTGACGTATCCTGGAGCAACCACTCACAGTGGTGGAACATTGCAGAACACAATTTCTGAAAAACGATGCGCAACTCTGAGGCTCTCTGGTTGAAATTGCAAGTCTCTGCAGAAAAGTCGAGACTTTGTGACTTTTGCGCCAAAATCTTCAAGCTTCATCAGCGTGTGCAATACGCCGCAAGCCCCAAGATTCAGAGAAATACAGAAAAACAATGAAAAACATTGAAAAACATGGAAAAAGAATGACACACATTGAAAAACATATCCACTGTAGTTTCTTTTGCCTTGGAAGTCTCGCCGTGGTTTCACTCCTTCCAAGCAGCATAGCAGTCGGATCACGGGCACTTCCCAAGCCACCACGCATTAGAACCTCGGCAATCGGAGCTAGGTGATGGCTAGTCACAGGAGTCGTGAAGAAAAAAAAACAACATCTGCCCAGGGCTGCTGCGTTGGTCTGTGCTTCTTTAGGTAGCGCCCGCAGTCTGGCTGCAGCATGAGCCTATGATTGAAATTCATTCCAATAAAGCAGGCATGTTTGTCCACAGACCACATGTCTTTGAACTGCAAGTAAAACATCTCAAACCTGCATGTTCCCTTGCACCGTTTGAAATACTCTCACAGCTAGTGGTAAGTCCTTGCCTGGATCTGCGGATACCTGGGACATGGGAGTCCGGATGAGTCCGGGATGTTCGAAGAATATGCTACGGTGACCCCGGTGCGTTTCAATTGGCCAAGGAACTGAGCCAGAAAAGTCTCCACCTCCGGGTTCGGTGGTTGCTGGTTCTTCGTCTGCTCCAGATGTAGCGCTACGGCCTGTAGCCATCACTCAGAATACTCAGATCATGACAAACCAAGAACATCAAAGTATCATCGCTCTTGATATCTCACTGGGCGTGAAACAGAGCCTGTGCAACCGACTTGTTTTGGTTGTACTGCCTCCCAAGATTTGCAAAAGTGGGCGAAGTCTGTTGAAGCATGCATGTTTGTTAAATACAACGCTAAACAATTGCAAAACATTTTGATTTTGACACCTCCAAACATTTGAAGGACAGATAACCATAAGCATCAAAACCTAGTGCTGCTAAGGATAAGCAACACAGTTCAATCCTGTGTCACTTTGATCCAGGCCTGGCCAGCGCTTGCACCCGCTCCAAATCTTCGGGCATCACTTTCACATCGAAGCCGCTACCGGGTCCACTTCCAAACCCACCGCCGCCGCCTCAAGAACTGAGAACAGCAAAAAATTGAGACATGGAAAAAAAAAGACATGGACAAATAGTTCTATGTGTATGTCTGTACATTTATATTTATTTATTTATATATATATTATGTACGTACGTACGTACGTATGTATGTATGTATGTCTGTCTGTCTTTCTGTCTGTCTGTCTGTCTGTCTGTATGTATGTATGTATATATGTATGTATGTATGTATGTATGTATGTATGTATGTCTGTACATTTATATTTGTTTATATATATATATATTATGTATGTATGTATGTATGTATGTATGTATGTATTTATGTATTTATGTATGTATTTATGTATTTATGTATTTATGTATTTATGTATTTATGTATGTATGTATGTATGGATGGATAGATGGATGTATGTATGTATGTATGTATGTATGTATGTATGTATGTATGTATGTGTGTATGTCTGTATGTCTGTATGTCTGTATGTCTGTATGTCTGTATGTCTGTATGTCTGTATGTCTGTATGTCTGTATGTCTGTCTGTCTGTCTGTCTGTCTGTCTGTATGTATGTATGTATGGTGATGTATGGTGATGTATGGTGATGTAAGGTGATGTAAGGTAATGTAAGGTAATGTAAGGTAATGTAAGGTAATGTAAGGTAATGTAAGGTAATGTAAGGTAATGTAAGGTAATGTAATGTAAGGTAATGTAATGTAATGTATGTAATGTATGTATGTGTGTGTATGTATGTTTGTATGTAATGTAATGTAATGTAATGTAATGTAATGTAATGTAATGTAATGTAATGTAATGTAATGTAATGTAATGTAATGTAATGTAATGTAATGTAATGTATGTATGTGCATATAATATATACATGTAAATAAATATACATATAATGTGTCAAGTTTATGATTGGATGTATTAATACGATTTAATATGTATGTATATAACATGTACACGTGTAAGTACATGAATCCAAGCAAATGTGCTCAGTGTCGAATTTCTAATTGTGAATTTCTGTCTTGGGGCTCAGGTGTTGGGATCTTGCCTGTCGGCTTCCTTTTTGGACTCCTGTAAAAGTTTCCAAAGCACAAGAATACAGCGAGAGCCTTCATAAAGCAAAGCATAGCAAAACTGTCTGTCTTTCCTGCTTTTGGGAGAATGACTGCGTGTTTGGCTTCTTCGCCGTCTTTGCCTTTCCAGCGGCGGTTTCCTGCAGGGGAGCAAGTACAATGCACCGCAATTGGCATTTTGAAATTTGAACACCGGAAACCAGCTAAAATCTTCACATGAAGGTGAAGTCTTTACAAGTTATTGGTACAATTTAATCAGATCGTGCAAGCGTTCTATCACCCAACTACCGGCGGTGATCAACAGTGACTAGCCAGGAATTAGCTCGGGCAAGTCTTGGCACGAATTGGTCAAGACGATTGCAGAATCCCATTCAAACTTGATAAACTTCAAAAGTATAAAAATGTAGGAAGTTCCATAGGAAGATGAAACAAGATGAAACAAGTCATCCTCTCAATGATCAAATGTCGCCTCTTTGCTCGTGAAGGCGATCTCCTTCGTTTATCTCTGGATCGTGATCGTGACCGCAACCGCAGCGACATGACCTGGGATTCTGTCACGCAAAGCTCAGCTTTGAATATCTTTGAACCTGTGCCAGATGTGCACAAACTATCACAAGCTCGGTACTTCTGAAATGTACTGATGTATTTATAATTATTTATATAATTTTATATATCTATATAATTCTATATATAATTAGCTACCGATGGTATCTGATAGTACATGATAGTACACTATTTAATATGTTACAACTGTGTACCCCTGGGTGGCAAACGCTGAGGTGCGGCACCGGCCGTGGGGTGTAGACCCCTCTGAGCTGTAAAGAATAACTGAAAGTCTTTATGGTCCAGCTGAGACTCGGAGCTGTATATATATATATATACTTTCACTTTCTGGCATACAAGTACATCAAGTGCAACTTCACTTCATTAAGTTTGTGATAGAATGTGCTTTGAGCCCAGAAGAAAGGAAACATGAGTCACATGTATGTGATGATGTTGAGTGCGGGAGTCGCAGGACTCGCGTTGAGCATCGTTGAATCGTTGGGCACTACATCCATGCACCTACCAAGCCTGATAAGCACAGCCACAAAAGACGGAACCAAAGTAATGCACTGCACTTTCTTTCCACGAGCTTTTTCAGCTCCTTATTGACCGACACTCACATTTGCCAGTCGTGAAACAATTTGAAGATCACGCTGGAATTCCCAGGACTCCGCCTGGAAATCGCGCCCCAATGGCCCAATGTATATTTACCAGTTTCTGGCTCCATAGGGGTGGAGTCTTTCTTCACCAAACGGCAAGGATGAAGTGGGCCAAGCCATTGAATCTAAGACTGATCAGACTCCATGACACTTGAAGTATCTTTACGATTCAGTAACTCTCTTTGAATGACACTCATCAAGTCGAAGCCTTTCAGATGATCAAGTCGGCATGGTGGCATTGAAGAACGACACCCTGGTAGATATCAAGACTCCCTTGCAACCAGCTTTTTTGTCACAGGAAGTCATGCGTGAAGTGACATCTCAAACAGCTTCAAGAGCAGCTTGATTTCCAGGATTGTCGAGGAACTCCGGTGTCCTTCTGCACCACGATTTGCGAGGATCGCTCTGTCCATAGAATTGTTCATCACAGAATTGGATGGGGCATCAAGGTGTGACCGGTGCTGGTCAGAAAGTTTTTTGTTTGAATATAGTAGAGCTATGTGGAGCTCTTGTTTGTTTAAGCTCGCTCAGCTTGGGCTGGCGTGCCCCGGCATTTCATGAATTTTTATGACATTTCCAATTTGCCTTCCGCACTTTCCGAGTCTGAAGCTGGGTCGGGAAGCACCAATGCACAACCTGATGGTTCCAAGTGAATGTCAAGTGAATGTCGTAGGAGACGGCCCTCCAGCGCTGAAGCCGGCGTATCGACGAAACACGGCAGCGGGAAGCACAGGACGGTGATGGTGAGGTGCGCAACACTCCACAGACAGAGCACATCTATGTGTGAGATTCACATCATGAGCAGCTCTGCAAGTCGCAGCTTCGGATAGACTTAGATGGATTTTGATAGACTCAGATAGACTCAGGTGTGCTGAAATATCCACAAGACTTTCGACACTGCTGATGCAAAGGGCAAAGCCTTGAGCAAACGCAACTTGGCTCCGCCACGGCGCTCCAGTGTCCTGGAAAGAAAGTTCAAAAATCGCAGACCCTTTGCGATCAGTACGACTCCCACCGTGACACGCAACGTCTTTGCCAAGACAGTTCCAGCTGCAGCGAAGCCTTCCCTTAGGGAAATTGCAAAGTTCTCTGTCTTAAATGTCTTATCTTCCCAAGATGCGTTTGGTGTCCAGACTCTCTGACTGCCAGCATTGGAGCGAGCATTGCTTCCAGTCGCTTCACTCCAGTCATTAGAGCGCCAGCCACGTTGGCCATATGAAGCATGATATGAAGTTGACCCAGCGCCGCCTCCACGATCCCAGTGGATGGTCTCAGATCCCTCAGAACTTGGCCTCCATGACTTCCATCTTGACGATCGATCTCCATCCTCCCAAGATCGTTGGGCACGTGCAAATTGCCGGAGACCCACTGGAACATCTCCACGAATCTGTTCACATAGCTTCTGCACTTCCATTGGTAGTGTTTCAAACAAAGACTCTGGCAAACAGGGTCTGCGGTCCTTGTAGTAGAAGCAGCATTGATGCCACTTGCAAACCTCACAGTACGTATACCCAAAAGAGTGGGGGCCTGATATGTATTGCGAATATTTCAACGACATCACCTCCACACTGGGCAAGAAACGTGTATCGTTGCTGCCATTTGGAGTCCCTCCATGCCAAAGCCTCAAATCTCTAATGATAGCTGCTCCTGGAGGAAGTGGACAGAGTTTTGACTGGCGCAATACTTCTGGCTCTTTTCTGAAACATGGCGGAGCATCACTTTTTTCACAAGTGTGGCGTCGCCCGGGCACAACACGCAAAGGTCCGTTCTCTCCGGTGACAGGCTGCACCGTGAAGTTCACCGAGATCATGGGAGGCTCCGAGTCCGAGCGACATTCCGGTGGAACTCGTGATGGTCCCAAGTCTGAATGTAGGCTTTGATAGTTCACTGTCTTTCCAAGAACAAAGTCACCCCCACCACCACAGAATACGAAGCCCTCTCGAAAGACTCTTTTCAGGACCATCAGCACAGGCCTTGATTGCAAGAGATGCTGCCAAGCCGGATGATGCAGCATGTGGCCCGATTTCGCTGCAGCCCCAAAGCTGTAACGCCCAGCATCCCGGCAGCCCAACCTGTCTGGATCCAAGAGTAGCATGTCGGCCTCAACTTGCAGACAAGTTTGCAAAACATCCGAGATTTCCTGGCCGCCCAATGCATTGAGCAGGATGCAAAAGCCATGGCGATGGAAGATGGCAGCTGCATCATCTATCCAATTTCCTTCCAGTGGTTCAGCTGTTGCTGAGAAATCCGCCACCTCCAAACTGGATTCGCATTGCTCTTCCAGGGACTCTTCCATATCTATATATCTATATCATATCTCATTTACCTTGAGAAATGGCCACGTGACAGTTGTCTACTCGGCTTGATTCAGCTGATGTTCTTAAAGGCTGGCAGCTCTTGGGATAAGGTTGATATCCGCCTCTTTTGCCGTGGACTCTCTTAACGCACACTGTCACGGGTGAAACTGTTCTGGCATGAAGGAGACATAAATGAGGGTGGCATCATTGGGCTTCAGACAATACAACTATATTTTTTCTATAAATTATATGTGTGATTTCCTTCAAATAACCAAGCTTCAAATAACCAAGCCACTATTAGTGTGATACTCTTCGAACGGATCTTCCACTTTCAGATCCTGCGTACTGCAAGTGTGTCTTGCCACACGGCAACGACGATGCGAACACCAAACCAGCTCCAAATAGATTGATGTGACAAGCTAAAAACTTGAGAAGCCACTGCCTTGAAGGCTTTGGAGCAGGATGCATGCCTTCAGAATCCAAAAGCCCATTTACCTAATCCCGTGATATCATATGTTGACATGATAGCACATTGTGTAAGTATGTACTGAAATACTAAATCCGCAGTGCAGCTTCGTAATGACATTGCCCACTTCTGTCCGCTACCAAAGACCCACAACGATATCTTGCATACAAATAACGTGAAAATTAGATCTTGAAGTTGTCAAAAGGACATGCTACATTGATATGCGATGGCGTGCGCCTCAGCCAGAAGTTGGCACACTGGACATGCCAATGTCCACCTCGCCAAGGTGCAGACACCTGCGGTGGAAGTCCAATAAAAATCCAACATGTTCATACATCTGCAAGAATCTGCAAGACATGCTCGGCAAACATTTGCAAACCGTCAGCTGACCTAAGGCTCACGCATTTATTTAGCTTGATCTGAGACCCAAACTGCACCAGGATCACGTTCTTCGATCTCTGCCTCCAGGTGAAGTGTGGGACAAGGTGTGATTTGCATTTCGTCAGCATCAGGGCAGCATTAAGGTATGAAGATAATGAGCTTTCAGTAATAATTACCTTTACATGGAATGCTCTATCATCTGCGTCACTTGCTACGTGCAGTTTTCAGATGTTTCCAGACTCACTCCACATCAGCGCGCCTCCATTCCCAGCGGCACCGCTGGTAGTAAGCAGAGTCTGGGCACAGCACAACAGCCGCAACAGCAACGGATCCCTGACCCCCGGTTTTGTTACTACTAGTAGATCTAAACTTCTCACAAGAAATGATAGTTATGATATATTAATTATTTATGATAGTTTGAGGCAAATGAGATCTCAAAGATTCACAGGAAAGCTCCTGCAAAGAGGCGCGGTTCGCTGTTGCTCGGGCACGCTTCCGTTGGTGCACCCACCGGCCTTGGGCACATCAAACCGGTGAGAAAACATGATTAATTTACAAAAAAAAATACAGATTTTACAGATTTTTAAAACTGTTTGAAGTGTTTGAAGTCTTTGAACTGGACAAAGCATGATGGCCTCAAATGTGCTTCCCTCTTGCCACGGTTCGATCTTCAATCGGAGACCTCAAGGCAAGACGGCATTTGGCAAGAAGCACAGGCCCAACCTTTTGATGTAGCAACTGCCCAAAACAGCTTCAATATCGGTGATCATTGGCCATCATTGGCCATCCACACAAAGTCTGCTGCTGATGATGTCCGACTCGAGCTTGGCCCATGAAGCCTCTCGCCACTTGCGTTGCACAACGGCATTGCCAGAGATTGCCAGTGCTGCGGGCACCTTGACCCCCCACTTGATTAATCTTGACCCCCCACATCCTCCCACCTTTGCTTTTGCCAAGCTTGAAGCAATTGAAGCCTGCAGTTCCTGGTGAGAACGGCAGGCAGATAAATCATGATAATCCTCGGTGAAGAAAGAATTGGTTCAACTGGTTCAACCGTTCAACCTGCACGCCATAGGCATTCCATGCCACTTTTTGATCTAAGAAATTGCAGCAATTCCGTTGCTTCTTGAAAGCACTAGTCATTCTGCTCAAAAAAACATAAAAATGTCCTGCAACGCTTCCGCGTCTGAACCATCTACAGGACCTTCACCTAGACAAAGGCGAAGAATTCTCTGTACCACGACATCAACAGATTGCAACGACACTTGAAAAATGTCAATCTCTCCACTTTTGCATCAATGAATATAAACATATATATATAATATTCAGGTTCCATCAATTGAGAGTTGAAAACATCGATAAGCTATCTCCAAAACATTCCAAAACCAATCGATGTTTTTCAACCGCTCAGAGGAACATAAAGGATGCGTGCTCCCAGCCTTCAGGCATAAATAGTTCCGCTGCAAGACCTAGTCGCCACAGCAACCTCCTCAAACTAGACAGCCTTCGGCATGGCGATCTTTTGTCATCTCACTGATCTTACGGTTGCTTGTTGTGCTTGGTGCGACACCGACACTGCACAAAAAGATCCCCGTTCAGATTGGGCCCGAGGGGTTGGGAGCCCCATTTTGTAGCTACAGAACGGCGTCCCCAAGGTGCCCTTCTTACAAGTTGGCAGAACCCAACGTTCACCGAGGAAGGTTTTTGTTACAAAATGGCAGTCAAAGCTGACCCCTAGTTACAAAATGAGTCACCGATTTTGCTCGCCCTTTACAGAATGGAGGGGACTGGGGGTGGCTATACTCGCACTATCCTAGGATCCCTGGGAAGTAACCTGCAACAGCCCGGCCAACCCGAGTCGCGACTGATGTTAAATTTGTTCACGTTGGCATCAATAAAGTGCACTTATCAGACTGCATTGGAACTTGATGCATTCAATATACACTCTTATTTGAGATCTCCTAGGCTATGAAAATTATTCTGTGATTTTTTGATTCCATCCAGTTTGTAGGGGCTATAGTTGAGTATTATCCGTTTACGCTTTGAATCCATCCAATTTGTAGTGGTTATTGATTAGACCTCCAGACTCCGACAGAATGGTCGGGACTGGAGGGTAACAAACTCGCACTTCCAATGCAAAATTCCGGTACGGGGGGGGGGTCCACTTACAAGATGGCAGAACCCAGGGTCAAAATTTTGCACAAAATGGTAGCCAAAAACCATTCTGTAACGGCCCTGAGGCCTCAGATTTAGTAACAAAAATTTCAACGGGTATACAAAAAGCATGTTGATACTCTACTGGATTGTACTGGTAGCAATTTAAATTAAACTGTTAAAAACATTGTTAAACCTTAGGATGTTTTCCAATCAGCCAGTCTTCTTCTGCTTCAGACTCAAGCTTCGAACCCACGTAGTAGACTCTGGAGCTCGTCGCTCTCATGAACACATTGACGTTCCTGCACTGCTGCTGTAGGTGATGCGCTGTGCACAACAAGCCCATAAGATCCCATACGCCCATACGTAAAACCTCCAACATAGGAAATCAAGGGAAGGTCAAACACCGAACACGCAATACCATCTTGCACGCTCCTCATCTGACCAGTCAGGATCGGCGAATTCACTGATCCTCAGCAGGAAGGAAAAATACCGGAACGACCATCACACCCGTTCTGAACAGCAGGCGTCCAATGGTTCACTTAGGTCCACACTGAACAGAGCTTTCCACTAGAAGCTCGCACAACGTCTTGATGCAGACAAAAATCACCTTCCCAATTCCAAGTTGGTCTCCACACTTGAGCAATGAAAACGTTCCAGGCACCTGCAGGAAAAGGAGAACGTTCTGCAAACTGATAGCCTCGATGGCTCTGTACATCTGCCTGATTCGTCAAGAAGCTCACGCTTCACATGCAGTCACTATCTCCAGTTTCGCCCAAATCTGAGGATATCAACAGATATCAACAGGTTTTTGCAACATCTCTGGACTTTAGATGGTTGAGCCCACCTGGCCCGCCGCTGCTGCCGCACCAGGCTTGGCCTCAGCTGAAACTTCCACAGAACTATCATAGCCATAGCCATCATAGCTATCATAACAAGCATAGCTCCCCTGTTGACCGTGATCCCCTGCAGAACTGGTAGGCAATTCGCCCGATTCTCCGGGCAAGCTCGCCTACAAACAACTGCGATCATCGTCAGGCATCCTGCATGTTGAATTGCGTCATCTCATCACATCTTTGTCCCAGGCCTGAAATTGCCCACTGCAACACCAAGAGCTGCACTGCTAAATCCATCCATCCATTGGCACCTTCAAGGTGCACGAAGCATAGCAAACCCTTCAACTTCAAGGGTTCTGTGAGCAGCTGGCAATTTCATCTTGTTTCCAGCCCCTCCTGGTTGCTCAATTCTCCCATGGTGCTTGCCTTTGCCTCAACTGTTCAGCTGCCATCTGCAGGCCTGGAGGCACTTCAAACCAGCACCCTCTCTGATGCTGCACAAACAAATTAGTTGTGATTTGTGAAGATGAGAAGCCCACTTGCATCACGATCACCGCGTGCTAGGTTCCGCCAAACCTGTTGCGTTGGGGCTTTCAGAGAGTGAGTCAATCTCAAGACCGACATCAACAAGATATCATTCATGTAACTCACCAAGCGCTGAAACTGCCGCTCTTCAGCTTTTTTCTCATCCACTTTTCTCATGCCATGCTTCTTGTGGTCAGAGAGATTTCACTAGATATCACTATTGATTTGGTTCCCAAGAAGCATGAGAGGATTTGAGACCTGAGTCTCGAGTCTCCGGTCTTATCGCTTTGTTTCACCAGTCTCTCAACGCTTCTGGCTGGCTCGTTAGCAGCATCAACAGAAAGAGAAACAAATGCCACGTGGCCACGTGGAAAAATAAGGTTGCCGCGGATTGCCTTTATTGACAGATATTGACAGGATCTGCTGATGCAAGGACCATCATTGTGATCCTTGAGATTTCATGTCTCAGGATGAAAGGATGCAAACAGCTGCTGCTCACTCGACATGCTCGACATGACATTGGCTCTCGAAAAAGCATGTATGGTCAGTTTTCCTGCATGAATTCACGAAGACCTTGAATTTGCTACAAGCCAATTAATTACTGTGAATGGCATCGATCACCTGGGAAACTGACTGTTTCTTGGCGGCCAAAGTCTGTTGCTGCAGTCGACATTGTAATACTGTATAGTATATTGTAATCATTCCCATGTCATGTCTCCGGATGAGAGGATGCAAGCAGTGATTGCTCACTTGGCACACTGGACATGTTGAACATTAGCACTCAGAAGGATAGGATGTCTTCACGTCCCCGCAGGTGGTTCATGAAGGCGTCCTTCGAGCTTCTGCAGCACACGATTCAATCTAAGATATGATAGATATGAAATATGTAATGAATATGCCTGCTCTGCTTCTGCCCTGCAAAAATCTTGAACACTGGATACGTCTGGATACAACTGGAATCATCTGGATATGGTAACGGCTCCTTGTTCTGATGTGTCGACGTTGTGGGACGTCCCAAATCAGCTCGGGCCCCAGGCCTCATCGTTTCATCGTTTCAACATGTTTTAACCCACGCCACGCAGAAGTCGCTTTCAATTTAAGATGCGTACAGGGCTTGGACCTCCAGAAAGCATGGGCCTGGAGTCTCCTGAAATGAAAAGTTCACATTGTCTCCCTCTCCTTTGCAAACAAGTCCATTTCCAACTTCACTTCACCATTTGATTCGCAGATTCCATTTGGACACAATTAAATGGACAATTTAAGTGGACAGTTAACCTGTCTTAAAGACTTGTGCCGCTGTGACAGCTGTGCCTTGAGTTTCCGCAAGGAGTTCTTCACTTCTTCGCTGCTACGGGCTCTCATTGCCTTCATCTTTGCTAGAGGTGGTGGCGCGAATCAAACACTTCATGGTACATCATGGTTCAATGGTTACTAGTTGTTCTTTCAAGGCCAATGCGATCATGAGTGATTGTAATCGACTGTATCAAACATGGTCAAAATGGTTCAAAGACATGTGCCTCCTGGTAGCCACATGCTCTCGCAACGCCAGGAAAATCAATCTGAACAGATCCTGCTCCAGTCATTTGCCACTCACATGCATTGTGCTTTCAAGGCTTTGCTTTTTCTGTTCGACCTGTCGGTTGACCACCCACTGAATCATGCACGGCATTGTTGATGAGCACATGCTTGAAGTTCTTGAGCCCTGAGCAAGTTCTTGGAATGAATCTACATACAGGCTACGAACAAAACTGCTACACAAGTTGTTGGAGACTGAGGAAAATACTGCACTTGGCAATTGTCGCGAAGGATCCCATGTGCATCAGAGCCTCAGCAATTTGTGTCCTCTGAGCATCAAACATCTGTGTTCTGTGTGTGCGTGTGTGTGTTTGTCCGTATGTGTCAGTTTTCATTTCCAGACCTGTACCTTGGAATCCGCACTGCACCATCTCCGTCAATACACAGCACATCCTGCGCAGTTGACAGCGCCACACCTGTAAACCAGGGATAGGTGAAGGAGTAAGTCACCAAGCAAAACAGAAACACACCAAAGAGATCCAAAGAGTGCGTTCTCTGGAAAACTGCTAAAAAAACTCAAACAAGCCAACAAGCAATCAAGACCAAGCACATAAAGACCGACTCCCCTGCCGACCCAGCAACCAGCTGCAGGTACAGCAGTGTCTGAGACTGAGACCCAACGCAATTGAGGAGCAATGGCCCATGCTTCCAACCTCAACACCATCGGGTTGTCTCCCTGCGACAAGTCTCATCGCCTCAAGCTCTGCACTGTGAGGAAGTCGTGCCGGTGTGATTGACCTCATAGCAGAGATATCAAGCATGTCAAGCATGTCAAGCATCTCGCAAAACATCAAAACAACAAAATGCACCTCTGCACAAATAAGAAGTGGGAAAGTATGACACATTGATTGGGGGTGCCCTCTGATGTGTTGGGATCAGCGGACACGTCAAAACCTACAACTTGAAACATTGGGAAACCCACTTTTCTGCACCCGCAGCTCGAACATCTCTCGGGATGTGAATCCCGTAGTAGTGACCTCAGATGTAACTGACGGAATTGAAAGTCTTCTCAGTCAGATGATATATCAATCTGCCTTCACTTGAAAAGCATTCTCAAACCTTTCAGAGCTGGTCGAAAGCACAAAAACGCATAAACTCATTTAGATCCTGTTGAAAAAAAGGAGCGCCAAACCCGGGCCAAGGCAGGTGCCAAGGGTGCCGATGGAAAACATTCTATGACCTCCTCCAGAATCTCCTGAACGCAGAAACTAAACATGCAAACACTGCCCGCGTGCAGAGGTATGTTTGCATACCAACATAAATCTCAGATAGGGTAGAAATGTATGTATACATAGATAGATAGGATAGGACAGAATAGGATAAGATTAGATAAGGTTAGATTAGATTATATAGATAAATTAGATTAGAATAGAATGGAAAGGAAAGGAATGGAATAGAATAGAGTAGAATAGAATACAGTTTCCACTTTGTTCAAATAGTAACGAAACACAGTATTTCACCATCCTGCCTCTCTATGGAGCATGTCCTGGCCGTTGAAGACCTCCGCCTGACTTGAGAGCCTTCGGGGAAAGCTCCGAGTCTCAGAGAAAGGAATGCGTTGTGGGGAAATGATGCAATGGGGGAGAAATAGGACAAAAGATGACAAAAGCTATTCGGATCAAATGAACTACAAATCACAAGAACTGAATGGCAGTTCTCCAATGGTGCTTGCCTGTATTTCTCGAACGTCTCTTTCTTGACCAGCAGAGCAAATGGCTCTTTCCTTGGTGTGCAGAACAGGTAAAGTCATTCCAAGTCACCAAAAAGATTGGCAAGTCTCTCTGTATGTCTCTGCACGCTGAGAATGCAGCTCTTTTTCCATGTGCGCCTCAAATACTGCGAAAGGTCACTTCCAAACAGCCCAGCATCAGCTCTACAACGTCATTGCAGGATAACTCTGCACCCGGCATAAGCTTTGGTTATCACTTCGAAAGCGCCTGCACACGAATTACCAATCACGACACAACGAGAATCCATGAGACATAAGCCATTCCATTATATTTCATATTATATCATATAATTCCATTCATAGTTGCTTTCGATATCCTTCGATGGTAATGCAGTCTCAAGCGCCAGGGCCAAGCGATTTGTGCCTTCAGCATAGTCTGGGAGTATCTCGTAGGGAACTCCCATGTGCTGCAGCATTGTTGGAGTCAGTGCCTTGGAGATCTTGGAGCCAAGGTCGGATCAACAGTGGATCAACTTGTTCCTTTGATAAGTTGAGAAGTCACCTTTGGACAGTTCCCACCTTTGAAAGCTCTCAACATCCTCCTAACATCCAAGTGGTTTGATGGGGTCCCCGCTCCCTGCAGCAGGTGTTGAGGCTCATCTTTCTTACCTGTCACGGGCAGTTGACAGTTGCAACGCTTACAACACTTGCAACGCACTTTCCCATCAGCGTCGCTGATTGTCGCCGAAATCATCATGGTTTGCTGGACTTCGTTGGGCCTGGCTCTCCGCGCCAGCCAATCAGGAGCAGCGCTGGAATCGCGTAGACCTGTTGCATGTTGCATCCAAGTCAGGGTCAGACTGTTCAAACATCTCCACGTCATGTCTAAAATTCCTGGAACCAGAATGTTGCTTAGCAGTGATCAAAAGCAGGCCCCCACTATTGCTTACTTCTTCTACACCTTATCCTGTACAAGTATCTTCCTGCTGGTTGCGCAACTCAACACAAGATTTCTGGCCTTCTGACTACAAAGAGAGAGCAGAGGATTGATGGTGTTCCCGAGACCCGAGTTCTGCAGGTAGACACACGCCTTTCGATGCGTTTACTATCAATGTCATTCTTCAGAGAGGAAACCAGGAAAGCTATTAAAAAATGAAAATATCATTCTCAATTTGTTTGAAACACTAGGGATTCGGCGATCTTCCCAGTGGCCAAGTGATGCCCAGCAGCCATGGCTAGTGCAGTCCCTTCGTTAGCTGCAATGACCTCAATACTTTGGGCGAGATTTGTGGCCCATCCAGCTTCGTCCATTGCTTTCGCTCTACCTGGTAACCTCCATAACCTCCAACCTCAAATCGGCATGAATATACACAGATTATACAGTTAATAAGTAGTTAATATACACAGATATGTACAGTGTACAGTAAGAGACTCCAACGACTCCAACTGGCCATGAAAGACTTCACACTTGCAAACTCTGAGAGCTGAGCATGCTGGCTTTGCTTCACGTTGTCCGTGATGTAGGCACAAATGTCCTCTCAGCCACAGCAATCATCTAAACTGTTAAAACTTCATTTGCAATACTAGTATCTTACAACATCCTACAACCTCTTACAACTGTAGTGTTACAACATGTTACAACTGTAGTCGCTCATTTGGTTTCCCAGGTCCTTCAGCAAGGAGTCAGGAACACCAGCAAAGAAGTCGGTGCCGTGAGCCTCAGCGAAGCTTTCAGATCTTTCCAGAAACTGCTGGCAGTTTCAGGTCGCCATAGGTCGCCGGCTCGTAGCAGCATGAAGAAATGGGCAGGGTTCAAATAGGTTCGAACCTCAAAACAATCAATAAAACAAGTAATATCTGGAGCCATGCGTTTAACAATCTCTAGATCACTTGTGACCACTTGTGATTGCCTACGGATCTAAAAGTCTAAAAGGTATGAACACGCAAAGGATCTAAGGTGCCAGCCGTCTCCGTCATAGGACGATAGATTCTCGTGTCCGCCTGCAGCAGGATACCAAGTCTCCAAGTGTCTCTAAGTGTCTCTACAAAGGTCGATACCTTAGCAATACCTTAGCAATACCTTAGCGATACCTTAGCAATACCTTAGCGATACCTTAGCGATACCTTCGCGATACCTTAGCAATACCTTCGCGATACCTTAGCAATACCTTAGCGATACCTTAGCAATACCTTAGCAATACCTTAGCGATACCTTAGCGATACCTTAGCGATACCTTAGCGATACCTTAGCAATACCTTAGCGATACCTTAGCAATACCTTAGCGATACCTTAGCGATACCTTAGCGATACCTTAGCGATACCTTAGCGATACCTTAGCGATACCTTAGCAATACCTTAGCGATACCTTAGAGGTACCTTAGCGATACCTTAGCGATACCTTAGCGATACCTTAGAGGTACCTTAGCGATACCTTAGCGATACCTTAGCAATACCTTAGCGATACCTTAGCAATACCTTATAGCGATACCTTAGCAATACCTTAGCGGTACCTTAGCAATACCTTAGCGATACCTTAGCGATACCTTAGCAATACCTTAGCAATACCTTAGCGATACCTTAGCGATACCTTAGCAACCTTAGCAATACCTTAGGTATCGCTAAGGTATCGCTAAGGTATCGCTAAGGTATCGCTAAGGTATTGCTAAGGTATCGCTAAGGTATTGCTAAGGTATCGCTAAGGGTAATTGCGAAGGTAATCGCTAGTATCGCTAAGGTATCGCTAAGGTATCGCTAAGGTATCGCTAAGGTATTGCTAAGGTATCG